TATGGAAGTACAGACAAATGAGTCGTTGGTCCAATAATTTATCGGCTGCATTTGTGCATTTATTCTCGTTCGTTTCCCTAACAAATCTTATTGCTATTTCTTTAGAACGGCTACACGCAACATTTTGTCCATTCAGGCATCGCTTTGTGAGGAAATGGATTTATGGAGCCATAATTATTGTCATTTGGTTTATAGCTATTGTTAGAGAAGCCGCTCAAATTTTCTTAGGGGAAATTGGTTATTCCAAGATAATTAATACCTACTTGTTTCTCCCATTTTATGGAGTTTCTTTATTTGTTATCTGTGTATCTTACATCCTCATTGTTATCAAAGTGCGATGTAGTCGTCATCCCCAATTCCATTCTAGGTCCAAAAGAGAAAGAAAACTGACGGGTACCGCACTTATCGTCTCACTTGTATCGTTACTTTGTTTTCTACCACTGACAATATATTTAGCACGTTTTAGTCTTTCCTTCGCTAATTTCGTGCATGTTCATATTCATCTGGCTGTGACAGTTCTATTTTTAGCTAACTCACTGGTAAATCCTATAATTTACGCTCTTCGGATGCCAGGATTCAGAGAAGGGTTATCACAGCTAGTTTGCAGGGTCCCAGACCTTTCACGTATCACCCCAGCAAACCTGCCACTTCGTAACCTAAGGAGAACGTAGATTATGTTTTGGTTTCCATTGAAATCTTAACACTTGTAAAAAAAAAAAAATTACGCTGGTGGTCTACGCACAGATAATTTATACAGTATATTTTGCCTGTAAATAAAAACAGTTTAATCAACTTTTTATAGGCCCAACGTTGTGGTCACTAGCATAACAGCTTGACTTGAACCAACCTTGAGCAACGACGACACGATTCGGGCCTGTTTAAACTTTGCTGAATGAACTTGGTTTGTTTGTTGTTTGGAATATTAATTGGCAGCAAGATTCACTGTGGTAAGGGACGAAGATGTAAATCGGCATTTCCCGAACAACACGAGAACGAGAAAACCAAGATATCTTCTCGCCACCGACTAATATTCTCAGTTTATCTACCAGTGAGAGCAAGAGTCCCAAAACGCCAACCTTTTATTTCATTTATCATTTTTTATGAAATGAAGACAAAACGGCTCATCATATAAAAAACATTGCCAATTTTCAGTTGAAAACGTATTCAGCTCTGTAATTATAAGTGTCATTCCATGGAAGGTTCTGAAGACTGGTTCACACGTGCAATGCAAATGCAAACTCAAACACGAATGGAAATGGAAGCTGAAAAAACTGAAATGAGGAAAAGAGCCGAGCTTCTTTTTGCAATGGAGGCGAAATAAAGGTTCAGCTCACATAAACCAATACCTTGTTATTTCATTCAGACCGAAGAAACTGAATTCTGTTGTTATCGTCACTGAGAATCCTGGCAACTGGTTGTGATAAAAATTTCAACTCTGATCTAAACTGACTAGCCCCATCCGAATCAAGTGACACCTTGCCGCAAGAGCCGCCATAATTAATGACTTCTGAATTTAATACACAGCCCTTGCAACCCGCCTCCCAGGGAGAAAAATACTAGTAAACCGTATTTTTTCCAAACCTGTGTTTATTGATTTGGGTTGAAATATTTACTTTATCAGCGATCCACCCATTTATGGAGACTTAATAAAAACAAAAACAAACAACAAAAAACAAAAAATAGATAAATGAGTTTCCAGAAGTTCTTCGAAAACGACCGGGGTGAATAATCGTGCACTGATCATGAGAGAGTACTCCATAGTTCTGCATTTCCGGTTTAAACAACTCCTTCCGTCATGCTCCCTTATCCCCAGCCCCCTTCGAGAGCAAGTACGGAAATATAAGTCCACACTTGAATTGTTTCATTATGTATATATATATATATATATATATATATATATTTAAAATACAGCCTTCAAAAGTTTGGATTCGTTTATGTAAATCATGTAAACGAACACAAAAACTTCGGGACAAAATCGTCTCAAACAAAACAAAGACAATATAGGTACCAAAATACCTTAAAAACCAGTCTCTGAATTGAATCTTGGTTGACCGTAGACGAGAAGACTCATGTGAGAGTTGACTAAGGATATAAACGGTACAAATATCTAAATGATTAAAGGGAGGTTCTGTCCTCTATGGAATTACAGACGAGAGACTACTTGGTCTCCTCGTATGTCTTTTGCATTTGTACATGTATTCTCGTTCACTTCCCTTACAAATCTTATTGATATTTCCTTAGAACGGCTACACGCAACATTTTGTCCATTCAGGCATCGCTTTGTGATGAAATGAGTTTATAGAGCCCTAATCATTTTCATTTGGTAAATAGCTGTTGTTAGAGAGGTCGCTCAAATTTTCTTATGGGAAATTGCTAATGTGGTTGTAACTGATATTTACATGTATCTCCTATTTTATGCAGTTTCTCGATTACGTTCTCTAACTATTCTCTATTACGTTCTCCAACGTAAATGCAAGGAAAGAGAGATACGCAAGCGCAGTAAAAGTATTTTACCAAGATGGCTGACAATGATTGCGCTTTTTGCTGATTCACACGTGTGAGAGGCGAACGCAAATACTGGCTCAAGAAGATGAAAATGTTTTTATTACTTGAGTCGGCGCTTACATTTGCGTGTGCATTTGCGTTGGGTGGTTCACACGATCTATTCCTTGCATTTGCAATTGCGTTTTACTGAGGTCTCCTGGTGTGATTGATTGACAGAGGGAGGTGTGGGTACTAATCCTATCACTCTCTTAGGAAATTAATTAAACTTTTTAGAGGCAGCACAATATAAATATTATACGTACTTCAAATCGTATAATAGCCCAAGTCGATATGCCACTTTGGAACCTGAGAATATCTCGGATAAATGGTTGGAAAGTTCGAAGGATGCTTGAACTTTATGTGTTCAAACAGCGAGTATTTGTATTGCTAAAAAAGATTTTGTGTCATCAGTTTTTGCGTTCTTTCAAAGTATAATTAGGGACGCATAACTAAAATGAGGAAAATAGCCGCGTTTTTTTTTGCAATGGGAGCGAAATAG